TCATGTTCAGCTTTCTGTCTCTCCATAATAATACCAGATAAATGGACACAAACCAAAACACAGTACATTCCTTCTAAGTGGAAGCAAACCTCCCTTTTTTCACTCTGAAGGGCAGTTGGACGTTCAAACGGGTTGACCCGCTGGGTGTCTGTCGTGTCTGTGCAGATGCTCAGTCTGACTGGACACACTTCAGCTGACCCTACTTTGAACTGGAGGATTTCCAGAGGTACCTTCCAATATCATCTAAACGTGATTCTGGGATTATAATGGTCGTTGTGTTCCACTTTAATTCTAGAGACAAAAGCCTTCAGTCATTAGGAATTCAGCAAAGAACAGCTGGTTACAGTTAGGTCTGGGAATGTCCTTCCTACTTCAGAATGACACTATTCAAATTAGTGCAGTTTGTTTCTCCAGAACTTACCAAAACTATCACAATGATCCTCAACCAACACATCAAGTTTGCCCTATAGTTTAGGTTCTGAGATAAACCAAATTTGATTTGAAAAATGTTACAGTGGCTGCAAGCAAAAATAAAGCTGTTCTTCCTGCAGAACAAATTACTTACTTGAAAGGGAATAAAATAACCAAATCCCAAAAACCCTCCAACCAAACAGAAAACAACCCCAAAAAAGAGGGGAAAATGCATTAGTTGGCCAATACAATTCCTTGTAGTCTTTATGCATTGCAATTCACTACATTTCAAAGCATCCTTGTAAACACTGCAATGAAACTCATTGCTCAGATTCAGTTTTGGGTCTCATTTTCTTCAAATACTAAGAGAAGTAGAATCAACATTTCTTTACATCACATTAAAAGCATTTCGGTGTTCCATACACAGTCACAAAACTGCTGAGGTTGGAAGGGACCTTGATGATTTAGAAGGGAGAAAAACCATCTGATGTAATTTTAATTGTAGACATTGGACTTAGTTTTCACCTGCAGAGCAGAAATAAAGGGCTAGAAGCTTTGTTTTATCATTGATTGAAATTTATTACAAATACACAGTCACTGCACATTAGAAACAAAACCATAACAAAAAGTGCTTTTATTAAGTATCAGAAAAAATGTGTGATACACAGCACAATACAAGTAATTTAACCACAACCAGGTTATTTATCCCCTTGAATAGCTGAACATACTCATTTCACAGGTAGTATGTAATATTAACAATTACATACAGGTATCAAGGTGCTTCAAACCAAAAGCACAAGTGCTTTTTCAAGACTGATCTCAACTGAAACAAGGTATCTAAAATTTGTTTTCACCTGTAATTTCTCCAGGCATACTTTGCCACAGTAATTTTTATTTTATTTTTTGTTAAGAGCAACAGAATTCTTCAAATGCCTTTAAACACGGCATTGAAGTTGTCAGGCACTAAGACAGTTCAAGATACAAACTAATGGCTCTGCCAAAAAGAAATGTAACAGCTTCAAAGGCAGCCAGAGGCTAGATGACTTGATAAGCTACGGCTTATCAAATTTCACATAAAAGTTAAAAAAAAAATTAAACAGCTTCTACAGGGTTAGTTTCTTCTGCTCTCTTCCTGAGATTCAGAATTCTGTGGGATCTCTTAGTTTGTCACTACTCAGGATGAAACTCAACTCCCCTACCTGATGGGGAACTCATATGTGGCTGAAATGTCTCATACTCTCTTTTAATATAGCATTCATGCCTTCAGAGTAACAGAAGGATGTTCAATAGGCATGAAAACAGACACAAAAACTTGAGAAATCCAAACTTTTCAGATGAGCAAGTGCTTCAGAACAGAAAACAAAGTTACATCTCGTCCCACAGCTCTTTTCCCCGGGAGGATATCAAAGCAACTTGAAACTTTGGATGCATTGCCACATGAATACAAACTTTTTAAAAAAGAACAGGTATGTCTAAAGAACTTGTGTTCAGGTAGCCTGGAAGACTGCACATTGGTCACAATTGCAACTCCCATCCAAACTCATGCGCAGAGCCACTCAAACACAGGTAATTTTCGAAATCCTTTCCCCAGTTTGTGATGACGCAGAACAGACACTCTAACCATTTAAAAAAACCCCCGAAACCAAAACAGGAAACCAGCAACCTGAATGCAGAAATGTTCCACCATGATGCTCCATCCAGAAATCCAGAGGTCTCTATGTCTTCCATGACTCACTTCTTATCTTAGAGTAGCACAAACAGCTTCTATACTTGTGTTCAGCTGCCCTTTTGCTGGGCAGCTGTTTGTGCACTTCATTGATCATCACTGCAGTTACATGTCAAGCAGCACCTACAGGTTAACACTAAAGGAAGGGGAACATGCTTTTTTTTGTATCCCCTATTTACCCAATGTTTTCAATTACAGATTTTGGAGAAAGGGTCTTGAGCATGACCAGCTAACACTTAGATATGCCCTAGTTATGGTCAACGCAGGCTTTGGTTTAGATCAATATAATGCACACATGAAGATAATGTGAGTTAGAAGAACTTAAGTTAATCTTGTAACTTCACATGCACTGTGCAGAAGTTTAGGACAGCATTTCAGTAGGAGACAAACATGCCTCCTCTTCTTCTAACAATACAACCTTCCGTCTGGAGAGAGACATCACAGACTTTATGACAGTTAAAGCAATTCTAACAAAAATGCGCAAGGCAAGAAAAGCAAAGGGGATCACAATCTGCATGAGATGGAAAATTGCTGTGCTAAATTCACTTAACAAGCATGTTAGAAAGAAGGTCCCAAGGCTTACACAAGGGTAGAGAGCCAGTTTGGCAAACATGAAGGCATGCTCCTTGCCCCCATACCTAGCAAAGGGATGCAAAGTCTCCCTTTCATTGAGAAGGGCTGTAGTCCATATTGCAAACTGAAATATGCTGGCAAAGAAAGTGATAACACAGCTGACCTGAATGGCTTCTATTTCATTATGAGACTTCTCTGCAAATTCACTGGTCAGCTGGTATGCTAGTGGGAGCCCACCAATGAAAGCTAATGAAAGGATGTTAAGCAGTCCCATCAGTCGAGTTGCTTTTGTTACATACAGGAAAAGTGAGTGATGGACAAACCACAGGAGACCGATTGTAACAAATGAGCCAAAATAAGCAAGGTAGTTTGGCCCATATTCACTTAAAGCCTTGAGAAGGCTGCCATGGAACTTCTTCTGAACTTCTCTGGGATCAGGGACATTGTCTTCACTGTGGAGAGAAAATTTACTTTACTTTGCATATTACTGTTACAAAACCACATCTAGAGCAACTCTGAATTCTGTTGCTTTACTCTGAGCAAGTAGGGGACAACAGGCATCTGCTCTGTAGCTCTTTAATTTGTAACATTTTAAATAACAGCTCTGCAAAGAAATTAGATCTAAAAGGAAATATGAATGTAAGTTGGCATTCTTTGGCTTAATATAAATGCCACAATGACTAAATATTTTTTCTTGATATAAGCCTTTCATCTGAAAACATAACTAAGCAAAAAAGGAAACTTTGATCTTCAAGACTCTCCACCCCAACATATATTATGCAGAGTGATGATCACTACTGCCAAAACGTGGGTGTTAGGAAGTGTCTTTGGTTTGTGTTCTGTATCTTTCCAGAGAATCATACCTAAAGCTACCACTACAGGTTTTAGAAGTAAATACTTGGTTAATTTCATTCCCTCAAATATTATGTACGGACAAAGCCTTACCATATATCCAAAATGAGCAGGGTTGCCACAATAGCATAGACTCCATCACTAAATGCTTCTACCCGTTCCTTACTCAGAGGCTCACTGAGGTAGAAAGTGAACGTTTCTAAGCTATGATGCTCCTCCTCTTCATCTCTCTGACCTGGAAACAAATCCAGATATTTACTAGTGAAAGAGGGAAGTATTGAACATGGTAGTTCAGCAACCTTCTATGACCTCCCTTTCTCTTTCTCCCCACCTGCCAAATTTTTTCTGTAGAAAGAAGGGTGCCAGTCATCCACACAGGTCAGTCACTCCACTTTTTTCGGCATCTGTGCCTCTCCCTGAGGATCATGTTTCTTTCAGGACAAGTGCTTCAGGGACAAAAAAAGCCCTGTCCTTCAAGCTATATGGCAGACCACTTCCACTTAGCGAATAATGACTCAAAGCTGTAATTGAACAAAACAAATCAGATGCTGTGCTGCAGGAAGCCCTAATAGCAGTAGGTCCTCTAAGACAGTGTGGAAAACTTATACTCCATGGCAGAAAAAAAGCCTCACTGGAGCATTTACAGGTGCAGCACTTGCTGGTTTGAAAACGTGTGGCTATTCAGCATTGCAGTGAAAAAACTGATACAAGCATAGAGCTTGCTTCTTATATTCTTCCATCCCCATGCTTCCTTTTTAGGAGGGAAAATGGATAGAGAGCCTGCAGCCACCATTCAATACTTGTGTGTGTCTGCATGCACGTGCATACCCAGGACAAGCCAGAGAGGTTTTGCACTCAGAAACGATCTTTAGATGTCTTGTGCCTCATCACAAATACAGGAAACCAGGGAGCCAAGGAGGAGCTGTTTGGAAGCACATCAATAAGCCCCAAAATAACTATGTTCCAAGACTGAAAAAGGAATCAGAACCAAAATTACTTTGTTCCAGGCTGTATGTTGACAACCTAATCAGAACATACTCCTATGAATTTTGCTACTCACCAACAATCTTGGTTTTACACCATGAAATGAAGCGAGAGAGATGTGGAAAAACAATTACGAGTCCAAGAAGTACATAAGACTGTGGAGAAGAAAATTAACAGTTTAAATTCAGTTATCAAAATATAAATCACCTTCCAAGTTTAATATGAAACTATTACTCTCAATCTTAGGTATAATCACATTGAGAAAAACAAATCTTGACATTACAAAGTGAAAAAGGCTCACCTGAAATGCACATGCGCCTCCTGAATATTGCATGTGTGATCTAATGCTGCTTTCTGATAGCTAATTTAGTACCAGTAATGAAGCAGGCTAACAGAGGTGAAACAATTCTGCTAACAAAAGTGCAGGAATTGCTGCTTTGGAAGCTGAACTATCCCACAGGATCCTTACTGGTCCCTTCCAATTTGAGATATTAAATGCTTCTACTATTTGTGTGGCAAAAACACATTGGTGGGTCATAAGTGGTTTGCAGGCTTTGCACAGGTCTAAGCAAGTGAGCAACTTGAAGACTAATTTTCCTGTTGCTAATATTAAAAAAAACAAAACCCAAACCACTGGTGAACAGGGTGAGGGAGAAGAGGAAAACATATTTTCAGATAAAATTAGGCCTTTTCACCTTTGAACCCATAACTGCCTTTTCATCAACACCAACTTGATTCCTCCCAAATTTGGGGATTATTTAAACACTGCTAATTCCCATGGAATCTTTCTCAAAAGTCAGTTAAACCATTTTTTTCCTAAAGAACAAGAGGAAAGGAAGCTCAGGATACATTCAAAAACTAGATTTCGGTTCTGAGCAGGGAATTTCAAAAAGATAAAAGCTATTAATAAGTAGGAGCAACTCACTGCCGTTTAATAAAGATGGCAGAGACAAAGGCTGTGTAAGAGCAGGCCTTACCCAAAACTATTTTGAGACGCAGGCTGGCTAACTAGTTTGCTTATTCTATCTGCTCTTGCACCCCGAGTTAGTACAGCAATTGCATTCACTTGTCTTCAGTTTGTACAATATAGTGTTTATTTCATGTAACCTTCAGCCTCATCTGAACTACTTCTGATGGGCAAGATCTGAAGTCATAGTTTAGAAGACTTGCTTCCTGCTAAGAGAAGCACTAAAAAACCAATCAGGCATAGCAAGTAAAGTTAATATTGTAGCAGAATCTTCTTCTTAAACTACTTGAACTCAACTTACAGACTGATATGTGTGAATTTAACACATTTGGTGCAAAATAGCAGCCATGAGTACAACACCACAGAACTGGCATCTGAGAAGGTCTGTGTATTTAACATGGACACCATTATATTAGTACACAGTCCTCAATACGACGAACATTAACTGGTGCATCAAGGTTTTCAGTTAACTGGGAGAACTTACCAAAGGAATAAAGAAAAAAGAAAAGATGGCTGCTAAAAAGCAGAAAACTGGTACTCTTAGGATAATCTTCAAGATATGATGTTTATAGAAATTCTGATTTTCAGACTCCTGTATCCGTTGATTCAGTAAGTGTGGGTGATAGAATCCGTACACTACTATCACAGCCTGCAAGGAGAAGAGCATTACTGCACTTATTACATGTTAAGTATATGCAGCATTTCAAATATAAAATGTAAAATTATGCATCAACAAATTCCAAAACACTTTCAAACTTATTCTTCACTCCTATATGAAAGATTGGTCTTACATGACCATGGATCTTACACGAAGAGGAATGAAGACCTCCATAATAAGGAACAGAAAGCGACAAAGCACCAGGAGAAAACAGTGCTGCAGGACTGAGGCTCAAAGGCTATGTTCCCTCACCCACCGCAGCACGGCTCAGTAAGAACCTCGGGAGGAAAAGTCAGTTGCTATTTCCCCAAGGCATTTTTACAGAGGGTGATAAAAAAAATTACTACTCTGTGATCTTGGAGATTGAGTTGCATAAAAAAGCTTCACAGGACAGTTGCAATGCAAACTTTCATCTTACATACAGATATTGTATTATCACAACAGACACAACTTTGAAAAAGAATGCTATACAAGCAACACATCTAGCAAGTTATACCCATAATTAAGAAACTTAATTTCAGTTCTACCCAAGAAAGTCTATTTAAAAGTGAAAATGTAAATGGATAGCTCCAATACCTGTATAAGGCCAATGACAACAGCACAGACACTGAACAGGAAAATGCCGAAAGGTACCTCAGGAAAGGAGGCCATTAAGGAAAACTAGAAAAAAAAGCAACTAGATCAAATATGTAATTAAGAAGCAGTGTAAGAATAACAGTAGAGAAATGGAAGCATTCTTCATTCAATACTGAAACTCAAAAACCTAAACAATAATTTTCATTTCAATAATTCCACTAAATGCAATTTGTAGCCACAAATACATGCAGGCATCCCAATCAAAGGCATCTGGAGAGATGGCTTTGCTCTGATGTTCATACTGTTAACCTTAACCTCTCTAACATTATGTCTCCATAGTAACTACAGGCTGGCTTGTAGCTGAGCACAAAGTTTAACTGGTTTTGGTGGATATGATGCTCATAGCTTTGAAAATTCTTTATTTAGGATACCTTATCTTTTAATTTCCCTGTCTCCAAGGCTCCTTGCTGTATTGTTTTCTGCAGCTTCATTAGGGAATCAAGGCAGGAAAGCAGGGTGTAATATTATGGTCACATTGAAAACTCTCCAAAATTTATTTTGGCTTCAAGGCAAAGTAAAAAGTATGTGGTCTTGCTGATAAGGATTGTTTTACTGATCACAGCCTTATTCTTTGCAGACTAATTATAACACAGATATATCCACACAGACACAGGTGCCTGTCCACACATGCAATAGTCAAGATTCATTCTAAGAACAGTTTTATTCTGTTAATACACTGTTGCAATATGCTTCTTAGGTCATCTGACCAAAAATCGAGTTTACAGATTTAAAAAATGAATGATCAGCTGCCAGAATCAACCTTGCCAAGTAAGTCAAAAGCAATACCACAAAGTCTGCCTAGATTACAAAAGGAAAATGTCTTGTCATCTAAAGAGGAATCTGAAATGCAGCTTTATTTTCCTTACCAATTGCAAAATTCTCATCAAACAACTTTGGCCTTTTTCAATACAGTTGTTTTTTTAAAAGATATCATGGGAAATTTTTTATGGTGTTTAGGATGGTAAAATTCTGGCACAGGCTGCCCAGTCCCTGGAAATACAGGTCAGGTTGGATGGGGCCTTGGGCAATCTGATCTAGTTGGGGATGTCCCTGATCACTGCAGGGGCTCAGACTTTATGACTTTAAAGTTCCCTTCCAACCCAAA